AATCACCCATTTTCAAAATTCAATTCAAGGCAGAATCTGGAGAGTGCGTTAAGTGCCGTACAAAAGTACATTTAGGAACTCCCCCTCTCAAAAGTTTACTATCTTAAAAAAAAAAAAACCAAAAAAAACCAAAACAAAGGAGGTTTAGTTTCTCAGTAATCTACAGTTACTCGGCAAGTTATTCACAGGCAAGGAGTATGAGCATGAAGAAACCAGGATTTGTCCGAGGCTATGAGAGGTTTCAGAAAAGAGCCAAGGAAACAAGTCAAATCTCCCAAGACCTAATTCACTATTGAATTCTCAGGAAACATGTTGGCAATATACACAAATACACATTTTTAAAAACACTTCACAAGACTTTGCTTCCTGGCATGTCCCTCCTGTTATTTTCCTCACCCCATTTCTTAAATTCTGGAATTATTCAATTTGAGCGTTGCACCTTATTTAAAAAAAGAAAGAAAACTTCGGTGCAGTAAGTATTCTCAGAAGGAATCTCACATACTTTCAACAAACTAGATCAGTTTGTAAAGTCCCCAGGGCATAAACACCCACGCCACGGTGACACCCTGGGTGACACCCACTGGCTGCCTGCATGCTGGGTGAGCAGTGGCTGACCACTGTGCTTCAGAACAGCCCATTTAGAACTGCCGCATGTGGTGTTGGCTCTGCCCCTGCCGCATCAGGAGCCCACGCCTGAGCTGCCAGTTCTGGCACAAGTTAGCCACTTTTCCTGGCTTCGAAAGCCTCCAAAAGCACCCCTTGCCAGCCCTTTCCGCCTGGATCCCCTTCCCTAGTGCGGCCTTACCTGCACTGGAGCTAGTCTCTGGACTGGAGGAAAGCCAGTGTCACTCCAGTCTTCAAAAAGGGCAAGAAGGATGACCCAGGAAACTGTAGGCCAGTCAGCCTCACCTCTGTCCCTGGAAAGATGATGGAACAGCGCGTTCTGGGTGTCATCTCAAAGCATCTGGAAGAAAAGAAGGTTATCAGAAGTAGTCAACATGGATTCACCAAAGGGAATTCCTGTCTGACTAATCTGGTCGCCTGCTACGATGGTGTGACTGGATGAGGGGAGGGCAGTGGGTGTTGTCTACCTTGACTTCAGCAAGGCTTTTAACACCATCTCCCACATCATCCTCACAGGCAAGCTTAGGAAGTGTGGGTTAGATGAATGGACAGTGTGGTGGATTGAACAGTGGCTGACAGATAGAGCTCGGAGGGTTGTGGTTAGTGGTGCACAGTCCAGCTGGAGGTCAGTAATAAGTGGTGTCCCTCAGGGGTCAGTACTGGGTCCAGTCCTGTTCAATATATTCATCAATGACTTGGATGAAGGGGTAGAGTGTACCATCAGCAAATTTGCTGATGACACAAAACTGGGAGGAGTGGCTGACAGGCTGGAAGGCTGTGCCGCCATACGGCGAGACCTGGACAGGCCGGGGAGGTGGGGCGAGAGAAAACCGGAGAAATTCAA